GACGAATTGTAATAGTATTTATTGAGGAAGCTTCCACTTTTAGATATATAAAGAAGTTCTGAATCATTTGGATCAATTATCATCCATTCATCATTGGTCAACAAACAGCATGACATTGGGTAATCTCCAGAAGTTAAATCAAGCTTCAGTGACCAGTATCGCTCAAGTGTTATTAGGGAGCATAGATCGAGAGGCAGACCATCGTTGTCGGTGGGGGGGGGGGGGGGGGGGGGGGGGGAAACAAGTCAAGCCCGCCTCGTCGTGGTGTTTCCTGGGTAATGCTAAAGGGCCTCTGCTTTATATATAAGACTTTTTTATATGATCTAGTTTTCATGTAATAAACATTCATGTTTATCATCTATTGATTAATCTTTTTAGCATCAACATTCGATCTTACTATTATAATAGTAGTAGTAATAGTAGACGCGAAAGAAAAACAATGTTTGATGAATAGTTCATCATATATATGATTGACTATTCATATTTAAACTAAATTTACTCTGTCTAGTAGTATAGAATATTAGATAGAAATCGTTATCATGAAGACTATCAGATGTAGATCATGCCCATAATGAGAAGGATAATGATGCTAAATTTGATCATTCTAATGAACCAATGTCAGTGACATCCTTATTACCCTTGTTTTCTTGTGGTCCTTACGAATCATTAGAGTTCGAATGTTAAACAACGGATTGAACTATTTTAATGTATACATTATGTATTAATACTTTCTTGTTGGATTTGTCATGTTTGTATAAATTTTGATGCATGAATAAATGTGTAATTTTCGAGTAGTTAACGTTCGTTTTATTTTGTGTCCGACAAAACACAAATGATCATTCGACTAATGATGTTATGATCAAGAATACGGAAGAAGAAGAAGTCAAAAATGATGGTGATCAACGTAATATCAGGGACATGAAAGAAAATAGTGTCATTCTGGCAACACTACCATTCACTAATGACAACAGTGACGAAGACCTCTTTCCAACTCCGCCATTACCTCCACCGGCAGTTGACAATCTAGATGTATATGATGAAGAATAGACCCCTTTTGAGTTTCTGTGTTTTGGTTTTTTTCATTTCTGTGTATTTTTTGATGAAAAATAGTGTTGGAATGTTTTCATACAGTTGTCATATAGGAATACTATTATTTCTTTTGGGAACTATTTTTAAAACAATATTTCTTTCTATATTGCAGATTTATCATATTCTATCGAAAACAACAATTGACTGTCTATTGGTCAACAACAGGATGAGCGATCTTCAATAGATTTAGTTACTCATCCACTTCGTATCATTATTGAAGCTCATCTAACAAATATAGAGCAACGTGCTCTACATATTATAAAATGGAAAACAAATTTGTTTCAGGAATGATATTCTCGTTTAATTTAGCATATAATCTACCTATGTTGTATTTATGTCGGAATAAACATGTTAAAGAATTTCAGTTTTCGAACATTCATTAGTTTTCTAGAAGTATTTAGTGTAATTCCAGATACATTTTCTTCTTATCGAGTATTTATGTTGATGACAACGCCAAATATCGATGTTGACAATGAGCTTAATGATGGACAAGGCCATTGGTATACTCAACTTTCAATAACACAAGTGGCCACTGGACAGGAAACATCCTTAAAACAACAGCCACAAAAGACATCCTTGCCAAAACAAAAGAAGAAAAGTCGAGGAAATCGAAGTGAACAACATTTTAGACGACGACTCCGTCGACGAAATTTGGACGAAGCAACGAAAGCATTATTAATTGAGAAAAGAATGGAACATCATCGCATTATCCACAATAATGAACAATTAAACGAACGAAAACAAACGGATGAAGACATGAGTGTTCCCGATGATGATGAACAAATTCAAGTATGTGATGCATTTTTCTCATGTTTCATCAACCAAAAGCTAATCTTTGAATGATTAGGAATGGTCACTCAATGGTCATACCGATGAGAATAACATCCTAAAACGAAAACGGTATGCTACAAATAGCAATTATGAACTGCAAATTAACAAATCATTGAGTCAATTGTCGATCTCACAACAATGTTCCAAGAAGGCAAAGAAAAACAATCCATCGGATAATAAATCATCAACAATGTTCAATAAGCAAGATCATCAACAACAACAACAACATGGGTCATCATTTGGTATCACAAGTACTCTACTTCCTCGATATTTAACTGTATCCGATCAAACATTCAAACAGTTATTTTCAAGTACGGTAGAAAATGCCAATCTAATTATTCAATGGTTAGATACAAATGAAAAGTTGAAATCAACTCGTCAACTAGCACATGTAGTCAATATGCTTCAGTACTTGAATCTACAAAAAAGTCTATGGCAAGCTTATTACGATGTTGGTATGACAGAAGGTGGTTGGACTACACATATTCCGAGATATGTTGCCAAAGAACATAGTACGTGTGCCACTTATGGTCGTTCACGAAAGTTCGTTGAACAACGTCTAGTAACAATAGAACATCAATTGAAAAGAACCGAGAATGAACTACAACAACTTTTATTACAACTGCCAGAGTGGACAGACAAAGCTCAACCGTCCATCAATTCCATTGCTTTATCTACTTGCATCGAAGCATTAGTTAATAATGGTCAAAAACATTTACGTGAAGAGTTCAAGTACAGAGAGATAATGTTGAAAATTGATGTGAATGATCATCATTTGATTACAGCAGTTTATAACTTGCAACCGAACGAAAAACAAGTTTGAACACTCATTAGTCTTTTCCTTCACTACAGCTAAATTGACTACTTGGCTATTTTAGATTGCATGGATGAAGACATATTGGAAAGAAACAGCTGCTGAATTACATGCATTAGAAGAAGTCGAGATACTTCGCAAACGAGTCTCTTTACAACGGTTATCACCATCATTCGATAATCTCGTCGATCAATCAACTGAATCTCTTCAAACTATGCTTTCACGTCCGATTATTAACAGTGAACGACGTGCTATTCTTGCATCACGTTGCTCAAAAGCAGTTACACAATACAAATTCGAAATGATGACACTGAACATTCTTGCAGCCGAAGATTCTATTCGAGGACAAAAACAAGCAGCAGTCGATGCAAAAACTAAATTATTACTACTCGACGGTAATTCATCATTACCTTCTACGAAAATACTGGTTAAAGCAATCGAAGAGCGCGCAAAAAACATGAGAAAACGAGCTGAACAAGTACGCAATCATAAATTGCAAACTTTTTTCGACGAAGCTCCGATGGTGATCAACGAAGACGGCAGCGTACCCATCGGAGCAATGTAAACATCTATACTAGAATTACTGCCTCATCTCCATTCATTCAAGTCGATTTAAATCTTTCACTGGCACAAACTGCTATGCTTATCAAAGGCATTAAATATATCACACCTTGTCAAAGTCAATTTTCGAAACAATCCATCGACGATATTGTGAGACAACAATATACACGCTTATCATCTAATGTGCAACGTTGTCTTGATGATCATGGTGAGGTGGCTAGGCAACCAGAAGATAAAGAAGCATTTCCAGCTTTGAAATATCTTCTCTACGAACTCCAATCGAAACCATTGCCACACAAACTACAAATTCGTGCTCGACGTGAATGCGTCGTGATGACAAGCATTGTTCAACTTTTGTGTAATCGACCCGACCTTATCATCCGTCGAACTGACAAGAGCAAAGTTTTATATATCGGCAATGCTCTAGAATTTGCAAGTAAAGCATCGGAATATATGATCAAAACCAATGCTTATCGAGAATTGACCAATGATCATTGTCCATTATCAGATACACAAAATGTCGTAACATCTCTATTGAAGTATCTTTTACGACGAGGAGCTATTAATGAATATCAACATAAGAAAATGACTCCAAAAAAGAACGATTTGGAATTGGCTCATCTATATTTCATACCAAAACCACATAAGGTAATTTGAAGCTTTTCAATCCTTGTAATATGCTGAATAGATCAATAATGATATTTGCCTATTTTCATAGCTTGATTGCTCCCTGCGACCAATTACTGCAGCGATTCATGCACCAACTACAATGATGTCGAAATTCCTCAACGATTTATTAGCACCTGTATTTATACGAGTAGCTCGGAAGACCACTTTTATCAATGGCTTTGATCTTATTCGAACATTAGAAAAATATGCATCGGATGGTTGTCTCAAACCCAACACACTCTTCATCACTTTCGATATTACGAATTTGTATACGATGATACCACGACAAGGTACTCTAGAAGCATTCAAGCGATTTTTGGAACGACATTTAAAACGTGGTAAAATTGGTACATTGTCCATTGATGATTTAATGAGAATGGCTCATCTTGTATTGGATACCAATGTTTTCGTTTACGAAGGCAAATATTATAAACAAGTTCGAGGCGGAGCAATGGGATCTGCATTTACACAAACGCTTGCCAATATATACATGTTCGAATGGGAACACGAATTAAGCCAACGTCAAATATCAAACGATGAAATCTACGGACGGTAAGTATAAGATTTCATCTATGAAACTTTAAAGGGTGGCCCAGAAGTCCTGACTTGATTTGTATAATTCATTTTTTTAAATTAAAATGCATAGTTAAAAATTTTTCCTTATGATAGAAAGATGCAGTAAAACGCACTCTACAAAATAGCCTATGACTGATTCCCTCTGATTCATATAGTAAGAAAGTTATAAGCTTAGAAATCTGCATCACAAAGAATAAAAATTAACCGTGAACTTCGTTTATAAGTTGGTGCTTCCAGTAAAAGTACTATAACTTCATCGAAACAAAAGATTTTTAGATTAGGTTTGTTTTGTTTTTATTAGAACTGGCTTTTTTTTTTGTCTAACTAGATGCAACTTCAAAACATCGATTCGGTTTTCTGTTCCTTGTTGAGTACAGTGTTGAAAACTAGGTTGTTGACTTTTGACGTACTTTTGAAAGTTGGTTCTCCAGTATACCATCTTTTCTAAGAACAGTTTTCTATAGATCATAAGCAAGAGCACATTTGACAGTATCAATTTCAACTGAGTTCGCACTTGTGCTGTGCTTTTTTTATGGAAATAACAGGAAAAGAAAAAGTTCAAGTCGAAAAAAATGGCAAAATCATAAAGTTTTTATTTTTTTCTTGTCTCCCGTATAATGGGCTTATTTTTCTTGGTTGAAGTTCTGAAGCTAAATTCTAGGTATGATTTTGTAAAGAATTTCACAGCGCTTCTATTAAAAATAGAATTTCCTCTAGGGAATCTAAGGAACAGAAGTTATAGCGAAAATATTACGATCGTGTTCACAGTTATTTTTTATTTTTTTGTGACACATATTTCTAAGCTTATAATTTTCTTACTATATGAGTCAGAGGGAGTCAGTCATAAGCTGTTTTGTAGAACGCGTTTTACTGCATCTTTCTATCAGAAGAACAAATTTTTAACTATGCATTTTAATATAAAAAAAATAATTATACAAATCAAGTCAGAACTTCTGGACCACCCTTTATAAGATGATTTCTTAATTATCTCTCGTTTTGTGTCCATTTCAGATACATCGACGATGCCTTTATGACAACCAACTTATCCCAAGATCAAATCAAAATTGAATTGGAAAAAGCTGCAAAGAAAGATTCAAATATTGAAATCACATACACCATTGCATCCTGTATCGATTTTCTTGATGTAGTCGTGAACAATAACAATGGCCAATTAATAACATCTATTTATCATAAGCCAGCTGCTGAACCTTACATTCTTCCATATACATCGGATCATCCTCGACACGTACATCGTAATATTCCATATGCTGCACTACTACGTGCTGCTCGTATATGTTCAAATATCGATGATTTTGATATGGAACGTGTTCGTATTGACATGTCACTCCTTTTGAATGATTATCCACCAGACTTTATTCTAAAACATTTTCTTCGATTCTTCCAATGGAACAATGCCCTATCTGTTTTACAACAACTGGATGTAAAGGTCTACCATGACTTACATCAAGTATTACTCTATCAACCGACACGACGAGAGAAAGAATTATTGAAGATGAAGTCGATTGAAGATGGACAGATACCAGTGGCTCTATCAAAAAACAAACCATGGGATCCTAACATTTTGTACATACCTCATCGATTCGAGAGTGGACCACAATTGACTTTCAAACGTCAATTTCGAAGTTGGTGGAAAAAGTACTATATGAAGCAAGGCTCAAAGGTAGCTCATGTACAGATTAAATTTGCTACGAAAACAAACCGAACCCTGGAAAATATCTTTGTTCATAAGAAACCTCCACGAGTCATGTTGACCGAAATGAACACCATCAAATGAATGAACAATATGGACACATATGTAACATCATAGTTATGTCTTCTCATTTCTTGTACAAATCTTTGTATATATATATATATACTGTATATTTCAGTCTTGTCAATAAAGTCTTGCATATTACTCAATGAAATTATTATGTATCATAACTCTATTTTCTATCTGTTTTAGATTCTTTCGTTTCTATTCTATATTAGCAATCGAAATAAACCAACACAGACAACGTCAAAATCCATCATTTTATCAAAAAAAACAACGACAACGACGTCGACGAACACCTCAAGAACAAGAAGAGTGGCATAAGCGACGAGAAGAACAAAAGAAACAACATGAAGAAAAAGAGTGTCAACAACGATTACAAGATTTTGTATGGCGACAATGTTATGATTCAGATTTCGAAGAAAAATTACAAGACTTCGAACATTTAGATGAATATTACCAAGATCTAGAGCCTAAGGAAGAGAAACAAGTGAAAGAGCTCGAACAGTTTGAACAATTACAAATTCAACAACTTGATCATGACTACAATGAACAATTAAAAGAAATTTATCTATTCGAACAAGAAAAAATGAACGAAGAACAACAACATTATTGTGAAATGCAAAATCAATTGGAACATTTAGAACAACAAGAAAATTTATAAATGCGACAACAAGTCGAATATTATCAATGATTGGAATGCTTTCAACAACAAAAACAGACAGAGCAACAAGTAAGAGTATTGTACAATTGAATATATCATCAAATAGAAAAGCCTTATTATTCTTAGATGATTGAATCAGAATATCGCAATCCTATACAGTTACTAATCGAATCAATATTGAAACCTTCTCTACATAGTCAACAGCATATTGACTTCAAAAATGGCGTCATTCGACCATTTAATCATGATGATTCTGATAAAAATGAAGAGAAAGATGAAAAAGAAAACAAAAAAAAAGATTTATCGATATACATCGACTATGAAATAAAACAACAACAACAACAACAACCAAAACAACAACATATACGTCAAAAGGTATTGTGTCAGTTTTTGAATATTTAATAAAAACTAAATCAATCTCATTGATTTATTTTTGGAAAAATAGCAATCATATCTAGGCTTTCCATGTAAACTATTCAATATCATTGAAGAAAATAATCAATCAATAGAGTTAATCATTCATTCGATTGATTATGAATTTAATGAAAGCGATTGGATATTTACAGAAGATGATGAAAAATATCAACAACAATTCACGAATATTGACATTTGGTATCTTAGTTTGTATGAGTTTCCAAAAAAGGACTGGCCTATTGTTTTACTTGATTACAGTAACATTCACT